CTTGAAGTACTTCAAGAACTCGGTTTTTTAATGTCATTATTACAAAATCATTTTACTTTTACTAAAATTATACTCACTGCTAAGTAAAATTTATGTTTTTTATTTTAATTTTACTCAGATTAAATTCTAATTGTCTGAATTTGTATATCTTAACAACGGATTTTTATTGAATAGATATTTGATGGAAAGTTCTCTTTTGCAATTGGTTTGTGGGATGAAATTGGAGTACTGGAAAAATAATACAAAAAAAGTATGCAAACTTCACACAGCGAAACTCGAGATCCAAACTGGGTATTAAACCCAAGACTTTGCTGTGACACAACAGTGCTACAGATCTGTTGTGCTGCCACGTGTACAGAACTGTACTGGAGGACAGAACAATCAGAAATACTAAAACAGAAAAAACTGAGTAAATACAAAATCACAGATCTTGTCAAATACAAAATAACCCCTAAACAGAAAACATAGTTCATTATAGTTTAGACAGGAAAAAAATGTTGTATGAAACACTGCATAGTAATGAGTGAATGTTCCGGCTGGAATTATTTATGTGTGTTTAAAATATGGGTCAAAATGACCAACAAGGCCTTAGTTTTAAACCTGAGGCTTCAAGGTTAATTTGAGCGTTAATAAGGTAAAAACAGAATTTTTTTTAGTCATGTAAATGTTTTCCCATCAGGGAAACCTCATATAAATAACTTGAGAACTAAAATGGCAAAATCTTTTTCAGTACTGGATAAAGTTAAGGAATTATTTAATGGTAAAGCACTATTTACATTATATGATGCAATAATTGTTCCACATTTGATTTTTTGTATAGAAGTCTGGGGTAATGCATGTGAAACCATTACTGATCCTATTTTTATTTCACAAAAAAGAGCCATAAGAATTATTACAAGAAAACATTACTATCACCCTTCCAATGTATTGTTTCATCAATTAAAATTGTTAAAATTTCATGAGTTGGTTGATTATAACATTCTGCAGGTTATGTGTAAGGCTCTTAGAAATGTGTTGCCATCAAACATTCAATCACATTTTGTTAAGAGGGAAATCTGCTATAATTTGAAGGGATTAAAAATGTTTGTTAAACCGAAAATCAGAACTAATTTGAAGGACAGATGCACTTCAGTAAAAGGCATAAGACAATGGAATAATCTGAAGGATGAATGTAAGAGCATTGGATCAGTTAATTACTTTAAGAAAATGATCAAGAAAAATTTGTTAAAGAAATATGAAATTGTTTAATTTGTATTAGTTACTGTCTGATGTAAGAACCCTTGCTCCATGAGATTANATAGTGAATTTTGCTACTCAGCTTTTCAAGCCTCAAGTGGATTATGGTGGGTAATTTAGCAATTAGCACAATTGGTACATATAGTGTACAATACTGAACTAAGGAACATACATAAATCCAGATAATATAAAGCCCTAATAATTAACCCAAAATAGCAACACCTGTACAGAGAAAGAAATCAGGTCCAACAGAATGTGTATTAAGTATACACATTTGTACACACTTATCAGAACAAAGTACAGCTTCAGTTGATATGGAGCATTTTACCACAATACAGGTTAAATGCTCCACATAAATATTGTATATCTTCTTAAATTTACCCATATTAAAACAATTGTAAAATAAAAAATACCTTTTTTATTACTGCAGTTATTTATTTTAGCCTATTGGACATTTTAACCTGTTAAAAACTCTGCGTTAAGGATATACAATAAGTCACAATGTGTATGCACAGTGTTGTCTTATGTAAAAGTAAAACAAGTAAAATATAAAATWATATTCTGTATTGTTAGTCCAAATCTAAAACTCATCAGTACAGATCAAAGAGACATTCTAACATTTTAAACTGATGCTCTAAAGTTATACAACAGATCAATTCTCTTTATTATTTTTTTTCTCAAATTCTTAAGTTTATATCAACAGTTCCCAACAGTTCAACACGCAGACATTTATGGCACTGCAGTTCCCCGGGCGCCAGTCAGACAGAAAGCTGAGGTAAAAATAGTCGGCTGGTTTAAGTTCCCCCTGAGAGAAACACACCAGTAAAGCTGGACAGGATCTTTTCAAACATGTCCTCTAACTTCACCGACAACAAGAACTTCTGCTCGTTCTGGCTGTGAATCTGTGCAGAGATGTTTCATCACTTAAAAATAAGTTATCTCTTTTCATTAAAATGGTTACCTCCACTTAGGGTGAAATCACAGTTCTGAATGAGTTTACAACAATAAATAAGAACACAAAGATTACAAAAAATATTGATTTCTAATACATAATAAAAATGTTCAAAGCAATGTCAGAATAAGGGATGTGAAACACAAAACATTTATCTCAAATATTGATCAAAATATAAGTTAAACAATTGTCCCACCCTGTGGCCTTATTGTGGCATTACAGTCAACCGGAAACCATATTTTTAACCCACTCTCTGATGTTAAATCAGACTAGTCCTTTTCTATTTAACTTTTCCCAATAGTTTGCTGGGATTTTTTCCCATTCCTCCTGACAAAACTGGTGTAACTCAGTCATGTTTGTTTGCTGACACATGGTTCTGAGACCTGAAGCTGCTCCAAAATATTAACTTTGACGTCCTTTAACTAGTATGCTTCGGTCTTCATCCTTTTGAAAACCCATTTGTCACCAAGCTTTACCTTTCCATTGGAACCTATGATTAAAATAATTGTTTGCACACTTTGGCAGCATGATGGATTAGTGGTTAGTGATGTTGCCTCACACCAAGGAAGTCCTGGGTTCAATCCCTGTTTCAGTACTGCTGTTCAGAGTCCACAGCCTAAAACTGCATGATAGGCTACTTAAAGCCTGTTTTTTTTTTTTTTTGTAAAAAGATGTAAAGTGAGTTTTAGCTGTTGAGTTGCTTCATATCTTATTGATCATGTTGATAAATTGGTTTCTAAGATAAAACTTAAATTAGGGTTCTTTTTTTTAGAAACAAAAAGTGTTTCTCACACCAAGTCAGAAGGCACCTGGTTACCTCAACTCTTCTCGATCTGCGCTCTCGGGACATCATTATGATGCAGGTGCCAAAAGTTAAAATTGAACTTGATAAAAAGGCCTTTAGATTTTCTGCTCCTGCCACTTGGAATAACTCACAGAAGGATTAGGAGTTATCATCTCCCGCTACTGTAGGGGTCACCTCGAGTGAAGAAACAAGATTTACTGCCTCGAAGCAGGCCTCGGACAGGCCTACTGAGAGGACAGGAACTCTGTCACAAACTGAACTCTATTTAGGCCATGACAGGTCATTTCAACCCAGAAGAGAACTCCTCGGTTCTCTTAACCAGATAATGGACAGAACAATCTCTTCTGTTC